TTTATATATATAAAGCGCCTATCACCATATTGATAAACATTCTTTGGAACCACTCCAATGGCAGAGGTAAGAACAGGAGTTAGCCTGTTAATACCTCAGCACTTCTGTTTCCAACCAATTTAAAAAAAAAAAAAAAAAAAAAAAAAAAAAGCCACAAGACTTTGCTGCCAGCTTGCCTGGCTGGTGTTTAATACTGCTACTCCATCAGGGTTGGAGGGAGACCTATTGTGAATGGCAACAGTTTGCACTGTGACTTCTCCAACTGTGCTGCGGAACAGTGCAGGTGTCACAGAAGGGCAGTGGGACATGAAGGCTCAGCCCTGTTACCAGTCAAAACGTCTCAGCAGCGGGGAGCTCCTATTAGGAGAGAGCAAGCTAGCTTTGCGCACAAAGCTCTCGCTCTCTGTGCTTAAGGCTGAGTCAGTGACTCTTCTGGACTCTTCCCAGGTTTCAGAAGATCACCAGACAAAAATACGTGTCAGTTATAAATATATCATGTCAGTTGCAGGGGGTGGAGGTGGGAGTGGGGCACAGGGAGGGGAGAATTTAGAATGGGTGCAGGGAGGAGAGAAAGGAAAAATGACATCTTACGTTTCCAGCACTGGAAAGAACAGTTTTGACCTCACGCAATAAGTCACTGGACCTTTTCAATAGTCTTATCTGGCTTATGCCCCATCGTTTGTAACACATCATCAAAAGGAATGTTGGCTGGCAAAGGGTTAAACAATCCCACACACTGGAGAGCAAATCTGCAGTCTGCTGGGAAGGTCCCCACCACATCACTGACGATCTCAGGGTCCAACTTGAAGGAAGGAAGCAGATTCTCAGGCTCACACATCGCTCAGGGCCTGGAGACAGCCAAAGACAAGAAAGTGTCAGGATGGACCTGCTGCAGCTCTACCAGTCCTCAACAAAAATATGGCTCTGAAACACAACCACGGCATTTGCCTTCATCCCCAGGACATTCTGAGGAAGTTTTTTCAGGAACCTGCAATTGCAACCCAGTTAGGAGACAACGGAATGATGCAGAAATACAGACTAGGCTTCAAGAAGGCAGGAGCTAGAGCATCCTTTCTTTACCCTCTGGTTTGCGCTGGAAACCACAACCACATTTTATCTAAGACTTTGGGAGCTTTCCAATGGGAAACACCAGTTCTGCAGGCTCTTGGACATTTTTTGGTAGGTGAAGTAGGAGTGATCTGCCATGAAGGCATGGGATATCAACCCAAAGAGCAGTTCTAAACTGAACTTCAGTCTTCCCAGGCTGACTCATGCTCTGCTATGTCATACAAAATGCCATCCTGCTCTGACTTGCTCACAAAAGCCTTTAGGGCTGCAGGAAATCCTCAGTCCTGTATACTCCCACTCCTGCCAAAGAAAAGTCATACCTCATCCTTGATGGAGGAATAGCAGCGCAGCCTTGCTTACCTTCCGTGCAAACTCTGGCAGAATGAAAGCTGCCCGATGAATGTCAGAGTTGTAGTATTTCAGACTCCTCTCCTCTACTTGTTGCTGTGAGAGCTGCTGCACAGGCTCCCGGAAATTTGTGTTCTGCAATAAAGAAGCCAGGTAGCTCTGTAGCATTTGGGTAACGAACAAAAGGCTGTGTGACAGGCATCCCGATTCATGGTAGAGAACCAAGAGGACTCGCAGGAAAACAGATGTCTCTCTGTTCTAGTATGAGGTCAAAGGTTCTGCACAGCTCCAGCCCCAAAGGCTGGAGTTTACACTCCGTACCTCGTGTGACTAGCCCTTATTCACAGATGTCAGCGTATGAGGTCAGACTGCATGTGAGCCATGTGCCAGATGAAGCCGTCAGATTGTGTCTGAGCATCTACGCAGCAAGGCTTTTGCTCTTCAGAGCAGAATCCACATCTGCGTTAAGTTAGGCGCAGCGCACGCTGCCGATGCCCCAGATAAATAAAATACAGCAGCAGAAGTGCCACTGGCTCCCTAAACCAATGTGACAGTTTGCATTCCAGGCTTGCTGTAATGCAGGAAATTGGGAAGAGAGCAAACCTCAGCGGTCCGATGCAGTTACCAGCCCACATCCTAACACTGACTCTCACTTGGAGGCCTCTGTACGAACAGATTACCAGTCACAAGCTGATTCTTATCAAGCAGGTGCCCACTCTATAACAGCCAGCATCAATAAGCCAAAGCCTTAACAGGCTCTGGAAATTGGTAGTGGCTTCCTCCCTTCCAAGTTTGTTGTGCTAGAGAGAAAACCATGTCCTTTTCTAAGGCAACTAGTTACAGTACTGGTCAATTCTGCGCTTCATTCAGCACTAAGCAAGCTGCATTGCAGCTCTGGGGCCCTGGGCTGGCAGAGCTGGGACCCAGCGTGAGTCTAGAGGCCCCACAGCTGGGAGAGTGCAAGCAGCACAGCTCGAGCTCTGTAAGGGACAGCCTGAGACAGGCTCTGCAGAGCCTGCAGGTGCTTTCACAGAGTGGAAAAGGGCACTTCAGGTGCCTGAAACTCACCGGGTTCTTGCTGCAGAGCATGAAGCCAATCTGCCCACTGGGATATGTGGGGATGGTGCAATAGGCGTATTCCACAACAGGGAACAGAGACTTGCAGAACTGACGCATCTCCTTAATGAGTTCCAGGTGCAGCCACTGGCACTCACCTACAGGGAGAAAGGAAGACAGGATGCAAGGTGAGCGCTGCCCCTCTTCTCTGCAAAGGCCTGTGCCAGGTTAACAGCGGTCCCAAGTCCAAACCTGCTCTACTCCGCACAGCTCATGTGGTTTCAAAGGCAAGATAAGACCCTTACGCCTGTTTTACTAAGCGCGGTCCAGCAGTTAATGAGTTGACGTATACAGATCAAAACCTCCTCTGTACCTGGGAGCAGAAGTGGATTTCACTCTCTGCGTCATGTCTCCCCAGGAAGAGAGTACCCTTTGTGCCTCACACTTTGCATGCAATGATCTGGCATCAGCCTCTGCCCAGAGACAGCATCCTCACCTTGGCAGCAAAGAATCCCATCTTCTCGCAGGGCTGTCTTCATCAGCTGGTAGTACGATTCTTTGAATAAGCTTTCTGCAGGACCTGGGAGAAAAGTAAGTAGAGAGAGATGTCCAGAGAGAGACTAAGATGGTAGGCTTCTGAGAGTTTTCTGAATGCCCAGGCTACACAACAGAGACTGCACAGGAAAAGAGACATTTCAAATGGCTTTTCAGTAATCACAAGTGTTGGAGATAATCTGGAAGCAAAAAGTTTTGACCCTGGGTGAACCTCAGCCTGCACCTAGCACAGCAGAACCATTGGGATGTTAGCTTTGCTCAATAGCAAGCCCTGGACCTTTATCAAAGAAAGTCCTAGCAGCTGCCTCTTGCTTCAGTGAGCATTTGTTTAAACTGAACTCCTGCTCCAAACTGCCTTTTAGAGATGCCTCTCTCTGTGTTGACTATAGCAAGAGTAAAGGTGACTCGGGCACTCGTTGTTAGGTCCCTTAAATGAGGCGCCATAACTACATTTGGTCCCTCTCTACCTCAGTTTTCCCCTTCAGAAATACAGCAACCTCACTACAGCTGTCTTTAGGCTAGGTAGCTACACCAACAGTGCGTGAGCCACTGCTTCATTAGCGGGCACATGTGCAAAACTGTCTTTGCCAGCATGGTGCTGTATCCCCCATGGGATTACTGGACTCAAGGATCAACTCTCTGCCAGAAGCAATAGCTGCTGGAGTTGAATTTTGAGGACAGAAACATGACAGCTGGCTTGAAGCCTTGCTAATACAATTTTCTGGTCTTCATCCTTCCCTTTCTCTACCAAAAGAACCAAGTCAGTGACAGTTTTTTCCCTTGAAAGGAGCCTGTGCAGGCTGGCATTACTTCCAGGAGGTAGGCAGAAGAGAAAAGGAGGAGGAGTGTGGAAAGCAGTACCCTTTTACGGCCAGAATTCTTACCCATGGGGTCAGACGAGTCTGTGATAATCACATCAAAGGCTTCTTGGTTTTGTTTCATGAACTCAAAACCATCTCCCACGTGCAAGGTCAGCTTAGCGCTGGAATACCCCACTGCCATCCCTGGGAGGTATTTCTTAGATACCTGGATCACATCCTGCAACACAAAGAGCACAAGTGGGTCAGCGGGCACTACGAGGAGCTACTTCTCAGGCTACTGTGCAGCTGCAGCTGAAAGAAGAGCACAATGAGTCATTTCCTTCCATGCCTTCAGCGCAAATACAACTCTAGCTAGATCCTCAAGAGCTGTCAGCATCTTCAGCCAACAAGCTACACTCAGCCCTTTCCTATGGCCTCAGGGTTCAGTGACACTGTTGGTCTGTCCTTGCCAAACTCAACAAGAACTTGGAGCTTCAAAAGCTCCCTGAGGAACTCAGAGAATATGATTACAGATCTGACTGCTCTGTGCTCCTTTTCCCTGCAGACGTCACTTGCAGAGGTGATCTCAACTAAACTCAACTAAAGACTTTTTTTTTTTTTTTTTCTTCCTAAATAAAACCATGTCAGCAGGTTTCTGGATGCTAGATGAGAAATATCCCACCAGTCGTTATATCTGTTCCCTTGTAAGATACAGTCTTCCCTCTAAAACAGCTACAATAGTTAGACAGCACTGTCCTAGGCCCAGCAATTGTACTGAACACTACCAGCTTCTCACAGCTGGCAGGAACAAAAAATATGCTGGTGTCAGGCAATGCTTGTTCAAAACCAGGCACATATGCCTACTTAGCTTGGCAGACAGGGTACACAGTCTCATATAGCAGTATTTCCCATTCCTAATACAGCCTTGCTTTGAGGACACAGCAAAACTTTTTAAGAAAGTAAAATATCAGACCAAACCGACGAGAGGAGGAGGACCAGCCCATCTATGACAGAAACAAATATCCCCTGCTTATTTTCTGCTTTCAGTTGCAGGAGACTGCTTAACAAAGCGACCATCCTTCTCTGGCAGGAGCAGCACTCTGTTCTGCATCAGGGGAGAGGGAAAAGCAGCACCTTCACAAAGCCAGAGCTCTCCTCCAGATCCCACGCTTGGCCCACGCTGGCCTGGAAGGGCCTCTACCGTACGTGTGCGAAAGAAATCTCATGAAAGAGGCAGCCAGCTGCCACGTAGATGGCTCGTAAGGCAAAGAGGTGGCGCTGTCAGTGTCACGCCAGCAGAACCGGCGGCACATGCACTTGCTGCTGACAAGGGACAGCAGGTGAAGCAGCAGCTCCCATGGATGCTGTGAAGTAGAGCTGCTTTTTGTCGGGCAGCCTGCCCGTCTGACCGAAGCCCCGGGGCACCTCCACGCAGCCGGGAGCCCAACGCACCTCATCGATCTCGCACTGCACCACAGACTCCACGGTCGGGTGTTTCACCACCTCTCGCAGCACTCCCCCGTCGCCACCACCGATGATCAGCACCTGGGAGAGGAGAGGGCAGAAAACCAGCCATCAGCGGGCTCAGCTCACGGGGGAACTTGCACGGCACGGCCTGAAGAGGACACGGCTTGAAACCCAGCAGCCTTGCGGGCTCGTCCC